GATAGTCTTAATACCGTCAAGAGGCATGAAAGCGATGTTACTTTATTGTGTCAAGATGTCAGACAAACATGAGCAAGTTAGAGTAATAATATACGATTCTCCCGTCATAAAGTTATGCAAAATTTTTAATCAGTAAATGGAAGAATGTTTAATGATCCGAAAGTAATATGTATTCATAAAAAAAAAGCTGTCGCTGTATTTTAAAGAATTAAATAAATGAAGCACAATGCATTTATTATTCCTTATAATTTTTTTTTATAGAAATTTGGTTCCTTTTTTTGCCCCAGAAAGTTTTTCTCGTCAGAGTCTCTCCTTCAAATCTATAGATCAACCATTCGCCCTTGCATGGAATACTGCTGCCATATCTAGTCTGTTGCCTCCATTGTTCGTCTTAAGGTCCTCGACAAAATCCAGAGACGAATATGCAATGTGATCGGTCCTGATCTGGCATCTCGTCTACAGTCACTCTCTCACAGACGTGCAGTCGTCTCCCTCTGTCTTTTCTACAAATATTTTCTCCGACGAGCTACTTTCGTTAGTTCCCAGACTGCATGAATTTAATACAATACAGTATTTCGATACCACCCTTTTACTGTCGAAACAGTTAAATGTAGCCGTCTCTTCTACTCCAATAGCTTCATGTCTAGCACCTCCCGCCTGTGGAATTCTCGTTCTATTATTTGTCTTGCTGAGAGCTATAATCTCCAACTATTCAAATGCAATGTCAATCGATATCTCTAGATGCCTTGATTTATTCTGTGTCATTCTCTTTATCATTTCACGCCTCTTTATTCTCAATACCACTCTCTGTAATCCTTGCGTGCTAGGGACATTCCCGCCTTGCTTGGGGTGAAAAGCTTAAAAAAAATTAAATGGCAAAGAATAGATGCTGCTATCGTAGCAGATAAATCTAAAAAGACAGATAGGAATGTATTAATTATCAAGATGATTAGAGTGTAACCGCATTCAGTCAGTTAAGTGCTATACGTGATACACTCTTGGGAGATCGTATCTCTTTGCGGGGTGGGTATTTGCGCGTTGTAACGAATCAGACTAGAATTCGGACTCAGTTCTGTCAATCTCGCATTCAGAACCAATAGCCATTACATCATAACGAACATCTGTTTAACCGTCTCTCGTTACCAGTTTGTAGCGGCTTTTTACTAGTTTGTTGAAGTGAGAAATTTTCAATACAGATATTATTGCCATTATTATTAAATAATCAAGTGATGGTATTGTGTTGTATAGAGTGCGACAAGTGGTTAGTTTCGAGACATGGCCTTTTCACTATGGCGTCCTGCAGCTGAAAAGAGACCAAAACGCGCGCTTTCATTTTACACTGTTTTATGCAATACCACCTATAAGAGGCTAGGAGGATATCCCTAATAGACAAGATAAAATAATCCCACGAGAAGGCATTTAATAACTCAGTAATTATCGGCTCTGACATGAATTAATATTAGATTTATATTATAATATATCTTGATGGATAATTAAGCCGACGAGGAATTGCTGGAAAATTGTCTGTTTTGACGGGATTTTTGTCTGGATTTACTTCCATAGCCTTTTGCATGTTTTGTCAAAGGTTTTAAATCAGTCTTTTTCTTCCCTTAGATGGACTGCATTTATGGGCTGTCGAGTTCCAGCTACTTGATCATTAGTTATATGTTTGAAAAAAAAATCCTCGCAAATTTTCAAAACGAAACATCAATTCTCACAATGCGAGATGAAAACGTATCCCGAATCTGTTAATGCGAGACACGACATTCAGGATAAAAATGTGGGACAGTCTCGCATTTTGCGGAATGGCTGGCATCCCTTCCCATAAATGCTTTAATCTGTCATTTAAAGGATAATTCCTCCATCCTCAGGTCTTTTATTGGGCATCGTCTATCACTACAAAACGCAACTCTCAAACAACAGCTGGAGGCGAATTAAATTTTTGGCATTGTTCGGCCGATTTTCGAAGGCTTCAAAAGTCGTAAATTAAATACCACACTAAATATTTTCAGTTCTCTTTCTTTATGTTTACGCCAATACTTCTTACCTTTCGACAGCCTCTTTGGATCTGATATTGTAGCTTTAGCAAACAACTCTGGTGCATTTAACAACTTTTACGTATATCAATAAACAATTTCTATCACCGAAAAACACTATATATATATATGTATATATAATTTATTACTGTGAAGACGAGAAACAAAACTAAGTAAAATACATACGCCCAAAATAAAAGATAAAAGCGGATTTGTGAAAACGAAAAGTTTTCTTTTTTATTAACTGTCCTTTATTTAGAACAAAGGCGAAAACCTGATATTGTTTCATGGAATTTTTTTTATAAACAAAGGAAATGACATAACGCTAACAAAAATTGAAAAAAACACAAAATAAGTGAAGAAGCGAAACATTTCTATTCAGAAAGTGTGAACAGTAAGTTTCGCACGCTATGCGTGGATGTAAGTGGCATGTTCTTAATGGCATTACGGCAAGTCCTTATTCAGCGGCGTTAACTGACATGCAAAACTAGAAAGATGAAAAGAGTGGTAAATTTGCGCACACAAGCGCGTCAATTATAGCGTAGTAGCTATCGGTGCTGAAAATGGGATCAGCGATCCGGGTTCAAATTCCCCCCGAGCTCGCTTCGTTCACTTTCGCACAAATACCCCTGGGAAAGGTGTGAATTAATTTCTCCTTCCCCCCAGCTATGAGTTAAATAACAGTTCACATTGGTTCCTATAGCCTCCGTTGGCAACTAATTTGCCAGAGAAAGAAACGGTAAACTACCGCGGGAAAAACATCTGCCACGTCAACTCTGAATTGAAATAACATAATCGCCCAAAGTGTGGCCCTGAACTATATCACGTGTGGCATGTGACTGACAGATTGATATATTTAATCACCATTCTTATAATTTATCTTAACATATTTCTTTTGTAAAAATCTAGTGAATATGTTGAATAGCAGGGTAGAGCGGACTCTGCATCTTTGGTTAGAATTCTGAATACAAATCTTTTGGTTGTTGGGAGAGTTCCTAGCACACCGTGTACCATTTCTTTGTTACCAGTTCTTCCGAAAAAATGCTTCTGGTTTTATACAATCCTTAACCACCATAAAAAAAACATGTGTTGGCAATCTAATTGTTCAGTTCTAAAAATACATTGGAATCGACGGCTTGGGCCGCCATATCCAAAAACACATCCATTAAAATCACCTATTTTCTGATAGGTGAGTGCTTAAGTGAAGACATATTTTACAAACATATACAAAATAAACAGTTTTATTCGCACAAGGATTTCTTTCTCTCTCTATATATATATATCTATATCTATCTATCTATCTATATATATATATATAAAGAGAGAGAAACCGCAAACGTTTTTGGTTGTAATGTGGATTTTTTTAAAAAAATATTATGCTTTATTTTACATAATTTTGCTACACGGGTTTCCGGTCTTGCGACCATCATCAGTCCAATGGTGGAGGTTTACACATATTATTAAAAATAATTAATTTTTTTCTTTGTTTTTCGATGTTAAATATTATCCACATTCTCTTTTTTGTGTTAGTGATCCAAACGTTTTTCTTGAAATAGCAGTGAAAAGTTCTGCGTGAAGGGTTATAAAACAATTAAGATTGGTTCGAGAAATGATGGAGTAGTTACCGGCATGCTTATCTTTTAATGACCCCTGTATTTTTTTAGATCTATTTCCATTTTTTGTGTGCTTTTGTCAGCATGCGAGTATATATGTGTATATCTCCTCTCCATACATACACACTGCCTCACTACCAGGAATCAGTGAACACATCTGTACACTCACACACACATACCGTTCCATTACAAAGAATCAGTGCATACACATACTTCCCAAGTTACATGGAATCAGTATACATACACACATACACAATTTTCTCTCGTTGGAACTACTATAACCTTCTCCTTATATATATATATATATATATATATATATATATATATGTATATGTATATGTATATATATATATATAAAGCGGTACGGCGGAGTAATGGTTAATGTCTTGGATTGAGGAATCCATTACATTCACTTACGTGTTAATACCCTTGGGAAAGGTGTGGATTCTCTTCTCCCTCCAGTTATGTGTAAATAGCAGGACAGACTGAGTTCTATAGCTTTGGATAGCAACAAAACCTACGAAGGGTCAGTTGGGGACCTTGTGGCACGCAGTGAACCATGTCTCTCTACCCAGCCCTTCAAAAACTGTGAATGGTTCTGCAGAAAACCTTCACCACTATCATCAAATCTCATGTGCTGGTGTCTGGCTGTCGGTACCTAGGACCTGAACAGCTCGACTCTCATACTTCGAATACGTCGGGAGAGTCGAAAAATATATATGTATTGGATAAAAATACAGTTTAAGATATGTTGTGTTAACGTATGATCGATTTAGGTATGCTCAGGATCAGGGATAGAGCATTGTGAATATGAAAGTAGACATTGAGGTCAACACCAAGCGGCAACAATCTGTTTCATGCTTAAACGCAATCATCAGGACTGCCGATTGCGGCTAAGCATGAAACAGACTGTCACTGTTCGGTACTCTTTTTGTATTCCTTAGCATTATTCATTATCATTTTTCCATCATCTTTAGAATATCTCCTGTCATCCACCTGTTCCCTTGTCTCGTTTATTTTAAGATGATCTAATTAGCCGAAATCACTAGTTTTTCTTTAGAATATTCCACTATGATTTTTTTTAGTTTCGTTCAGGTTATATTCATTTTCAACTCTGATTTTATATGTCATCTTGAAACTTCGGTCCTTCAGGAATATGTCCTATTACAGATTTGGCGTTGCTTTGGTCATCATTATTTTTATACTTAGTTTTTTATACTGATAGAGCACACGCCTGGAAAGTGGCTGTTCACGCAGTCGGTACTTGGATATGTTTTGTTGGGGAGAAGTGAGTTTACGAACTGTTTGTTGATAGTTACGTAATCAATCTCGTTCACTGTGTATATCCCAGACGTCTCCAGTATATATCTATCTATCTATCTCAGTCTCTTTAATATCTATCTATCTATCTATCTGTCTCAGTCTCTTTAATATCTATCTGTCTCAGTCTCTTTAATATCTATCTATATATCTGTCTCAGTCTCTTTAATATTTATCTATCTCAGTGTATCTATTTATCTATATCAGTCTGTTTATCTATCTATATATCTATCTATCATTTATACATATTTCTGAAGTAATATATCATATGTAAATCATAAGAAATCACTATCATTATGGAAGACCTGAATACCAAGTTCGGAAAACAAAGAGAAGGAGAATTGCGTTGCATTTAAATTTTTGGAGATCATAGTTGGTAGAAAAGCAAGAAGTCGGAATAGAGTTCCACATGGGAGAAGTGCGAGAGAAGAAACTATTAACGTAAAACGTATGGTTGCATCTAGCAATTTCAATACTATGATGGTGAGAACTAACTACCAATATAATTTTACACATAAATATGGGAATTTGAAATGTCAAAGGTAAAACATATGAGGATTGTTTCCATGGAAACATTCATAGAAAAAGAATAAGGAAGATACGGTGGGTAAATGATTGAAGCCGAGATACAAGTTTAGGACCAAATATTGAAACTCTCTTCTTTTTTGGATCTTGTTAAGAATATATAGATACAAAACAGATGAATTAGACCTAATAATGGTATATGTGCAAAGATAGATTCTGGCGAGGAAAAATTATCTAGCACATCATATTGGACTAATTTTCCTGAAAAACAATTTCGAATAAAGATATTTCCCTCGAGGCATGAACTCAATATAGAATCGTGTCACACTTCTAACAAAATTGAGTGCGAGGACACGTGTTAAGCTGAGCCTTTGTGAACAAGTTTACTTTTTCAATGTCTCCGTTGTGTCTATTATCAGAGTGGGTTTCTTTGCGTCAACTTTCTGAAAGAGAATTACGTATACAATTTCATTTTCTAAATCTTGTTATTTTACAAATCCACAATTGCAGCTGAAAATGCATGAGAAAAAAGATTATTGAATGAGTTATCTTTAACTGTCGACCTCTTGTTTTGGAAAATTCTTTCGAATCAATAAACCGGAGACTGAATGAGTGGTATGAATATAATGTTTAAGAAGGGAAATCTGTCACACTCTGTCTATTACCTATCTATCTATCTATCTATCTATCACACACTGTCCGTTATCCATCTATCACACACTGTTCATTATCTATCTATACATGCATGCTTCATACGATAAAAATCCGCCATTTTAAGAAGTCATGGAAGTAATAAAACTATCAATAAAGTATTCACCATATCCTTGCTCGGCAAGGCACACGGCCAAAAGTGGTGATTCTATATCTTATAGAATTTATATACGCGTGGCAAACTTAGTAAATGTTGCTCAAGCTATTTTTCATCTATATTCATATTAGGTCTAACGTTTTGACTCTCATTAGTGGTCTCTGTAAGAAAAGTGACGAAAGGAAAATCGAATGTTTTAAAAAGTGTATTGTTTTAAAACGGACGTTATTTTTATATTCGTGAATATGAAAGTATTATGCTAAAAATAAGCAGACACACACACACACACATATATATATATATATATATTAAGTGGATATTCAGGTCAACACTGAACAGTGACAGTCTGTTTTATCCTTAAACGCAATCACCAGATATTGCGTGTTGAATTTTGGCCTGATTATATATTTTGGGCAGTGATAAAATTATGGGTAGATCTATTGTTATAACAATTATTAATTGGGAGGTAACGGTTATGTTTCAAATCTAGGGCTATTGAGTGAAAATAACTGTGTATATGAATGGAATTTTTTGGCTATTGTATAGTGTTGGTTGTTAGCTTTATTATTGATTGCTTTGTTATTTGTAATTCATTGTTATTTTACGTTTAATTGTATTTATGTGTGCATTCGCATTTTGTTAATTCATTATTTACATAATTTATTTACTTTTTTCTTGAGTTGCATCAATTTGTTTTCGCGTTCTGAATTTTGAGTTAAGTTCTGATTATTTATATAGTAATTTGTGTTGGTCCGGGAAGTTAATTATAGGTATTTTCTCCTACAGGTAGAGTTTACAGTTTTGGGGTTTATTGTTACAGGCCGATGCTGTTTTCCTTATTTTCCATGATATACTTGATATGATTTGGCTTTTGCTTTTACTTCACCATACATGTTTAGAAGAATTCTGGTTTTTGCGTATTTACTATTTGTAAATAATTTTTTTTGCGTAATTTCTTTGTTTTCAGGGTCATTCAGTCATTTCTATGTATATTTTTTTCGTTATCTGCTGATTTTACAGTGGCTTTGTATATTACATTGTTCAGGAAGCAATTGTCGTTTAAAGGACATTTGTCCTTTGTTCTGCAGTTATACGTAGGTTTGATTCGTGCGGATGATTTTTAGGTTGTTTTCTTGTGTTTTATTATTTGTGATATGTTCTCGATGCAACTTTAGTTGATTTTTACTGTGTTTTGATACCTTGTGGAGAGTACTCGTGTTTGTGTGCGAGTTTAATGAATATTTTTCCTACGTTTGTTTTTATGTTTTTGTTGTAAGGCCTGTTGAACCATATGATTTTGTTTTTGGCTTTTTTTCCGCTGTGTGATGTGTATGTATGTGTTATCGAGAAAAAGCACCACCCTTTAGGGCTGTTTTCTAATCTTTCCTGGCTTTGTTGAAGATGGTTTCACCGAAAAAATTGTCAGATAACCTACGGCTAATTGATTGTGTGATCTGCTTGATTACTAATTGTGGGTGGCAGGAGTATGTGTATACAGAATGGTTCGTCATTAGGTTTTCTATGTAATTGATATGTAGTTTTTCTTAGGTTGGACGTAACATCTGAAATGATCTGCATATTTTAGATTAGTATTAATGCTTATGTCGAATCCGATATTTTTAAAAATTTTATTTTATTGTTGTTCTGGTTTTACCTGTTTTTAGTTCGTTCCAGTTATATATAAAGAAATATATTCTTAAGGTGTGCTATATTTATGGGATAAAGTGCTCAATATCAGAGATAGAGCGTATGTAAATATAAAAGTGAACATTGAAGTCAACACTTAGAGGCGACAGTCTGTTTCATGCTGGAAGCAATCGTCAGGCCACGATTGATTTCAGCCTGAAAGCGTGTTGACTTCAATGTTCACTTTATATATATATATATATATATATATATATATATATATATATATATATAATGATAAAAGTATAGTTTCGACATATATGTGTGTATTTTTGTGTATGCTTAAATAATAAAACATTAGTACTTTTTTCCTCTAAGATGGCGTTACTAGTGATGAATAAAAAGATTTAAAATAAGTGAACATTTATTCTGTATCTTTTCTTTATAATTCTTAGTTCATGTCGAAAATTATTTATATATTATCTCAGCTTTTCTGTATCGAATTTAAGTTAAATCCTCATCTTATCTCTGCCTCGAAAGCAAGAGACTCATAAAGCCTTTTCTGAAATTAATTTAAGTTTCATCCTTATCGAGTCTTTCAGAATAGGTTGAAAGTAAAAGATTTATATGTTTTTAGGTCTGTCAAGGTGAATTCCGGGTTGGCAATATGCGTATAAATTAGGTTATAAAATCCCGACAAAGATTGGAAGAAATTAGACAACTGGAAAATTGTTTCATTGAAACTAGATTTGATTATGCGTTTCGCTTTTCTTGGCTTCATCAGCATTTTTTGATCTGATGAAGCCTAGGGGAAACGAGTATTCAAATCTACAGTAGCGAGCAGAAAGATCAGAACGATGTCAAGAAAAAGTCTAAATATGAAATATCTTTTTTATTTTAAAGCTTCAACGAACCTAACAGTTATCGTTCTGATGTTTCTGATCATCTATTTTTTTTCGAATGTTGTATATTTATTCTTATAACATTATTAAAATAAGTTTATTGAGCTTTATATTTTAGAATTATATAATTTACCTTTATATCCTTATTTTTCCTTGATAAAATGTTCTATGAAGCTTTAAAGTAAATAGTTTTTTCATATTTAGACTTTTTCTTGACATCGTTCTGATCTTTCTGCTCGCTACTGTAGTTTCTATAAAACGGTTTTCCATTTGTCCTACTTCTTCAAAATTTGTCGGGATTCTATATATGCATATTGATTTCCTAAGCGTAGCTTAGGTGTGGCACAAGGCCGAAAATACGGGGCATCGAGTGAGGATCGAACTCACTATTCAGTTGTAACTGTTTTAGCGAGACAAGCTTGCTAACCATTACACCACGCCGAGGTGCCCATTGATATGTAATACTATTGTGGTGAAAATAGATGAACTCTTTAATCTTTCTCTGACTTTCCAGGACTGAATGATTTCCCTTTGTTTTGTCTTCCTCTCTCCATGAGGTAGTCGGCCATTTTCCTGTAACGGTTCGCTACTGGAACAGATTTCTAGTAGAATAAAGCTTCACTCAAGCTATACGGACTCAGTCTTTCTTTCAATTCCACTCAATTCCATTATCATAAGAACTATAATTGCTAATTCAGTACAGTACTGATTATAATTCTTGGAGGTCTTATTGTACAAAACAACTCACATTAAACACAAAATCTTAGGAGGTGTCAAGTTCTGCGACCCCACTAACGAATTAATTCTACAATAATTAAAATATATATGCCCCAGCTAGAGTTAAAAACCGTACTATGCGTGACGTCACTTTTATTCAATGCACGTACATTTTTGGCGTTTCTAAATGAACGACCGCGTCAAGCTAATAAAAACTCTGACTTACTGTCACTGATAACATTAACGTTTCTGATAATGTCTAGGGATGGGCGAAAGTAAGCGGACAAAAAATATCATGAACTTTGGAAAGTTTACCCATAAATTTGATCCGGGTGTGTGATAACTTATACATAAACTGGAAACTTGTAATAAAAACTTAAACACACAGACCTTGCCGATCGATTCCAATAAAACTTGCTCATACACACACGCATTATTTCTAACGAATTATTGGGGTTTTATTTATAATCGAACATTATTACTTATTACTATAAATTTTATATTTAGCAGGCACACGTTTGAGTAGACATTTCAGTTTTTTAAACCTTCTAATTGTCTTCTAGCAGCCTTATTTTTGGAAAGACCTTCGTGGTTCCTTATGACCGTGTGGTTTAAAGGCAAGATGGACGATACGGCGGTTTTCCCCTACACATGCAGGGATGCGAGTTGGCATCCATTCGAAGAGTACATTCATCATTTGGTTCAATAGACCGTACAACAAAAACAAACAAAAAAAAACCTAGGAAAAATATTCATTAAACTCATACACAAACATTTCAGCCGTCGAGCACTCTCCACATAGTATCAAAAAATCAAAATCAAAATCATCTAAAGTTGCATCGAGAACATGAAACAAATAATAACTCAAACACATATGTCAGTAGACGGCAATGCCGCATTTTTTTTTTAAGAGATACCTATAGAAACATCTCTATCCACTAAATATGGCGCCTCTCGTAATAAGTAATCTGTCTGTCTATATTAATGGTTTTTGGAAATACGATAATATTTCTTATTACTATAAACATTTTATTTAATGGTTATACTTGTTTAATTAGAGATAATTTTAAGCGGTAGACAATAAAAAAAGATAAAGCATTACCAGTAATAAATAAAAAGAAATGTTCACTTATCTTGCCATTATCGAGAGTTTCACGGAGATTACATCCATTTGTCATAGAGCGTGATAATAAAGTTTTACTATCAAGTCATCTGATGAGTGGATGCAACTCCTCAAAACTCTGAGTAGGGATAGATAATTTCAAACATTTAATTTCATCTGTTACCCTTTCTATTTAACAATAGTGATTTTCTAAACGTGGCATAGCGAGGGAGAGAGAGTGTAACAAGGCCGAAAATCTTCCCCCAAGGACACATGGCACAGTGGATAAAGGCGTTAGTTAGATTCAGTGACAGGATCCAAAGAGTGTGAGTTTAATACCTGGTTAAGGCGGTGGAGAAATTTGAGAGGGGAATTAACAGGAGATAACTGACATCCATTAGACATGGAGCATGGAACTAGAACAGTCTAGCCCAATGAGCGAAATAAAGGGTTCAGTTCGACATTCCAACCTCCTGAAGAAGGCCGGAGCGTACAACGGCCGAAACGTTGTAATAAATATGGCGACAAAAATGAGGACAATAGTCCGAATAATGTAAATAGTGTTGAGGAAAGATGGTTTAGAAAAATTGACATTACATAATGAAAACAAGCGAGGCGTATC